CTTATAGCTGGAGCACCTCCCTGTCTGCAGGATCTCAGGGTCTGGAACAAACAGGAGTTCCTTCTTAATTGGGGTGAGATCTGGGGCTTAAAGGAGGGCCAAGACGGGACCTGAACCCCCTTTCTTTCTCCTCCAGAATCGCTTTGGCTGCAGAGGTGCTTTTGATGTGTGATTTGGCTCTGCGAGTCGTACTTTGTGAGTGTGTTCTTGGGAGACCAATGGTGACTTGCCTCCAGGCAGAATCTCAATCCCCAGGATCCTGGCCCTCTTTGATGAAATGCTTTCGGGAGCCGCTAACCCTACTGATGCCCATGTGCAACTCCCTCCCTCGCTCCCCCCTCCTCCTCTGCCCTCTTGTTCTCTCCCTCCCCCACCACGTTCCTCGGCTCCTCTTTGAGAGATTCATAACAAGGACTTTATCTCTGTGTAGTCCAGGCCAGATGAGCACTGTCTGACAAACTGACAGGAGTATTAGCTGTACCTTACAGAACACCTCGGAATGTCTCCTCTCTCAGCTCCACTTCCTGTGGTAACAGACACAACTGGAGTCCATTGAGCCGTTTATGTACGTGCAAATATAAACACTTTTTGAGATTGTGTGGCCAACCACTAATCAGTTTGAATCTATCAATGATGATCCCCTGCAACTACGGACTATTTAATACATGTAATATTTAACTTAGACAAGTTCATAAAATGATTTTATGTGTAAGAGCAAGTAATGTTATTGCAAAATTCTGAGGTGGTAGCAAATAGTGAATGGTTTTAGATTTTTTTTTTTTCAATAAAATTCGGTCTAATTAGTATGCAGTCCTTGTTTAACCACATCATCAGTGCAGCTGCTTTGCAAAAGCTTCTGTGGTTTTTTAGAGGAGTGAATAAAAACCATTATGAAGACCAAAGAAAATAGAAGACAGGTCAAAGATATAAAGCTAAAAATGTGAGACATGGAGGTGGGAGCATCATGCTGTGGGGATAATATTATCCTTCACAGAATCAGTGGAAGTGTGTGTTAAAGCATGGTTCTAAAGCTAACACATTATCTGAAACACATTAAAACAAGGTAGTGACAGCATCATGCCGTGTGGAAAGTGTTTTTTAATGAACATTTTTGTTTGTTTTATTCAGTTTTTTTTTTCAAGTGGAGGAGTTGGTCAAGTGGAGGAGTTGGTATCACTGTTGCCTTGCAAGAAGAAGGTCATTGGTTTGAATCCTCGACTATCTGTGTGAAGTTTGTATAATATCCCTGAGCTATTGTGGGTTTTTTGGGTACTCCGGCTTCCTCTCACAGTCAAAAAACACGGCTAATAAGTAAATTGGTATTTCTTAATTAGCCTTAGGCATGAGTGGGAGCCTGGATGGTTGTTGTTCTCTGTGTTGATACCCTCTTCCTGTTCATTTGTCAGATAAAATTCCAATGAAGTACAGTGACTGAAAATGTTCAAGGCATGTTAACACCACTGGAAGACCTTTGACAACAACAGAAACAAAAAAATGTCCTCACAATGTGACAAAGTCAAAACCAAACACTCTTTATTGACGACAAAGATGTTGACAGACGTGACAGAAAATCTCTTGCTGTGACTAATTAAGGCCTCAATTAGACAGCGTTGACTTTATAAACGCAACAATCATCAGGAAATTAGTTACAAAACTTTATTTTCTTCCTTTGCCAAAGTGTCTGATTAGTGATGTGTCAAAAATAAAGACAAATAGACCTAACTTGTCCCAGTGGACTTAACCTGACAGCCACACACACAAACACACACATTCAAATCCTAGTTAAACGAATAACAGACTGATTTTCCTCCCTAAACCCCCACCTCTTCATTGATTGAACCAGTGCCCTACAGACCTCTCTTATCACATAATTTCCCTGTATATTGATCATGTATATTGATTACACACCTAACCACTACAGGAGCAGCTTTCCTGTGTTTAACCGCAGCACCTTAAAGAACGACCCAGGAGACAGCTTTAGGCCTCTTAAACAAACTGCATATTGCAGGAGTCAAATCTGTTCCGACTGCTAATGATGCCATTTTTATATCTTTTACTTCTATTTACACTTCATTTGCTCTGCTGGACCAATGCACATTAATATTCATAACAATTTAAGATTTAAGATGTTTTTAAATTTGCACAATTGCATCTCTTTGGGCTTTATGCAGTCTTTACCTGCCATTGGTGATTTTAGACAGTTTCATCAAGAAAAACATCTTAAGAAGGTTTGAGAACATCACATTTTTTTTCACCCTTTCTCAGCGATCATTAATTATCAATGTTAGGAGCAGAGATAACTTCATGAAAAAATCCTCAATCCTACTATGCTATTGGCTGATGTTAAGCAGCCAATCCAGAAACTGTAACTACAGTGGCTGTAACAATCAGATGAGGAAAACTGCAGAGGTTATCTTCACAATTTCCACTGTGTATATCAATACTTATTTGGGTAAAACTGGTGTTTGAATTATTAAATATAACCAGTTATGAGCATTTTTACAGAAGGCACTGGGTCTTATTGTCATTAGCATTCTGTAGCAACACTCGAATAACAGTTTGTGGAAAATAAAAAGAGCATGTTCTTTTACTCAGAGAGTAAAGAACAAGAACAAAGTTCTTTTCTGGTCAGGAAATGTAACATTTCACAATAATTCTCAAGAATCCCAGTGCAAAACTGCTGGAAAGTTATGATGACTCATATTAGGCGACAACTGGTGACGCACAAAACACGAGTCAATGACCAGAGAGCAGGAGCAAAGACGGCGTGATACTGGAGGAAAAATGATGGAGAATAATGCAAACCGGAGAGCTCAAATATAGGAAAGGTGGAAGTGACAAAGAAACCAGAAGAGTTAATCAGGGAGGAGTGGAGCTGAGGTACGGCACAGGCAGAGGAGAGATGAGAAGATATAAAAGAGCACTTTTGAGTTTTCAAACTCTGGAAAGAGCTAAACAAATCTAACACTAGTAAAAATTTATTGATGCTTACCTAAATAAAATTTATGGAATAAATAAACTACTACTGATGATTGTCGGTAAAATTAACAAAATTAAAGTCATAAAGATAAGCAAATATTTTCAGCAAATAACAGATTTATTGACACTTAGATCTAACAAAGGAACTTTGCAATCTTTCTAGATCTGGACGAGGTTCAACTTCATTCAATAATCTTAATTAGCTAGAGAACAGCTAAACCACTGTGGATGTATTTTGGATATTATCTATCCCTAATTGTTAGACATTTATTGACAATGTTTATTTTAATAATTAGCACTTGGCATGACCGGTTTAACAAGGGAAAAAAATGTGAATATGTATTTATTTCGCATTTAAACCTAAAACGCAGCAGAAACTGGAAGGAGGAGACATGTTTAATTGGTTGTGCTTGTAACTTCAGTAAACTGGCAGTTAGTTACTAAAAAATATTCATAAAAATTACAGTGTGGATAAAATGTGATTCCACCATAAGCTCTCCCAAAAGCGACTGGGTTTGAAAGCATTAAATTATGAATGTTTACAGAGATAACAAGCTGTGAAGACGTTTCTTTGTATGTTTATAACTGCAAAGAATTTTCGACTCAATTAAATGCGAACCCAATAAAAATGTGAACTTAAGGCACAACAAGCATGTCTTTTCTTGTTAAACAAATATGAACAAGAAAAACAGTGAGTAATGATTAAAGTGCATTTGAGGAGTGATATTAGCAAGTAAGTTTGATCATTATTTGTCTACAAGTGAGTGCAATTCTGAAATAAGAACACAATGTACTCACGCAACATTATTTTCACAGAAAAACATGTCTGCTGATGATATTTAAACTTTAACAAGTGGTGGATCTAAATTGTGTTTGAAGAATTCATTACATTGTTCATTTAGTCAACTTTTTTCAAAATGATTGAAGAGGATGTTTCAGTGTTGTGTTCTTCCAGAGCCGGCCCAAGGCACAAGCAAACCAAGCTGCTGTTCAGCGTCAACAGAGGGCCCCCAAGAGAGCTCGATTTTTCTCATTTATTCTGCTTGTAAGCATAATGGAGTAAACTGACTGTTCCCTACAAACTCTGCTGAGTTCATTTTCAGCTGCTAAACTTTGGACCTCTTGACCAAATTCAGACTGGATGAGTAAGTCAGGGAGATAGCAAAATAACTCTGTCTTCATCATTTCATGTTTTTACTGGTATTCGTCTTTGTTAGTGTGAAGTGAGCAGTGGTTGGTCACTTTGTCACTTTGTGACCAACAGCTGCTTTTGTACTTTTGGTCATTTTGTACTCAGAGAAAAACTACCAACATCCAGTTTGAGAAATGATGAGTTAAAGACAATCTGGAATTTGATTTGGAGTATTTTTCAGGTTTTGGCAAGAAAGAAGAAAGGAGTAAGCCATGCAAAAATTATTTTATTTCCATCCATCCATTAGCTTTTCATCCATTCATCCACCCATTGTAGCAAGTTTAAGTAATCCATCCATCCATCCATCCATCCATCCATCCATCCATCCATCCATCCATCCATCCATCCATCCATCCATCCATCCATCCATCCATCCATCCATCCATCCATCCATCCATCCATACTTATTTTCCATCCATCAAACTGTGTTGGTTCCATTTTTCAACCTGATCACTGTATAAATATATATATCATCATAAACTCAAGGTGCAATTTAACATTTATATTATAAACATTTGCAAACAAAAAGCTCTGGGAAAGTAAATAATAATTAAAAAAAAGTGCACAGAAAAATCTACAGGGAACCAGAAGAGCTAACTAGATTTGGCCCCAACGAATCAAATTCCTCCCTTTACTTAAAACCTAAAAAAGGGAACAAGATCCAAAGAACTTCCACAAAGAAAGAATGACTGAAAGAAAAGAAAAAAAGAAAGGGGTGCACAAACTAAAAAAAGGAGGGAGGCAGTGAGTAAAGGAGGGAGCAAACCGAAGGGAGGAGTCAAGCGAAGGAAGGAGCAGCTGGGAGTCCCACACTTCGCCCTCTCTCTCCCTCTCGAAAAAATGCTCCAAGTGTAATAACAACTCTCCACACGCTCTTCTCTGTTGTTTTTGACGCGCATCTGTGGTCTGCTGTCTGCAGATTACAATCGGCTGGCCCATGGTGTTGAGCAGGAGAAAACTGTGAGAAGGAGGAGAAAAGACAGGCAAGAGGAAAAACTCTGGCTGCGCCGCTTTGGAGTTGGACTTCCAGCGTTTGAAAAAAAAAAAAAGAGAGAAAGTCCAAGGCAACTCCAGAGGAACCTCTGCAAACTTAAGAAGAAAGAAGAAAAGCGAACGCAAAACCTTTTTTCCCCCCCTCAAAGAGAAGTCGAGAAAAAGTAGAGAAACCATCCAGAAACAAAGTAAGTTTTTCCTCCTGAACTCGCGCACACTTTGTTGGGAAGTTTGTAGCGAGACTTTATGAAGCAGAAGAGGTTTCATATTTCAAAACGATGGAGTTCCAGGCAGGTCGGAGCGCACAGGCTGACTTTCATTTAGCAATAAAAGTCTCACGCGTTATTTGCTTAGATTTCGGCTTCCTGACGCATCCAGACGCAGAGATGTGCGCCGCAAAAAACTTCCAGAGAGTTTCTGCAGCTTTATTTATGGCAAGAACAGAGATGTTCGCTCAAGTTTTTTCTCTTCTTCTTCTTCTTCTTTTTTTTTTAAATGAGTTCCGACAGTAGAAATGTAAATCAAACAAAACAATATTCCAGTTCAGCGTTTTGAATGAAAACTTTTTGCAGACGTGCAACTTTATTGGAGCTTTGCCTCCAGAAAGGCGGCCGCTGGAGGTGTGGTGTGCAGCAAAGACATGCATATTTATGTGCATGTGTGATCATATTTCAGCGCCTGTTATCGATTTGCAGATTTCTACATTAGAGCAGTTTAGTGGAAGGATACACAACTTCCTATTCTTCCTATTCCAGTTTTTTAAATTTCCATCGTTTTCCTATTGTATCAACTTAATTTGAAGCATCACTTAAATTAAAAGTTCAAACATTTATTTTCAATTTAATTATGAATTAAGAATTAAATTAAGTTTCTCTATGGCTTTTTTTTTTAAATAAAAGAGAAAATCATTAATTATAATTTGCACAAAAAAGTATTTTTTAAATTGTTTTATAGAATGGGATCATTTCTAAAATGTAATATCTAATATATAGGCTATACATATATTTTAAATTAAATCCTAAAAGAAAGAAACAGGTTTCAGGACACTTCACATAAGCATGTGGGCTCAGAGAAATTTAAGCACACCACAGGGGAGGGGGCCTATGTGGCCCTACAGGGGTCACTGATATGGGGCCCCAAGCAAAAATACCACACATCTCCAAATTTTTCGCTCACAAACATCTAATTGGAATTTTGTAAATCCTCTTAAAATGAAATAATTTTTAAAATGAGAGAATGAAGCTTGTTTTAGGGTTGCAGGATAGGAAAGTTGTTTGGGAGCCCTCCACATGTGCAGATATTTGTTTGAAACTTTCCCTCCTGTCCTCTCGCCAGCTGTTCCGCATTTTATCTGCCTGTCTGCTCTCTGGTTTCATACAAACGATGAGGGTCCGAGGTGCTCAGCCATGCGGTGCGGCTCAAATCCTCTCCTTTTCATTTCTTTTTTTCTCTCTTCCGTTTGACACATGGCAAATTATTAACGAAGCTTTCAGCTGCCTTGAGATGGAGTGCATTGTGAACCAACTAGATATTGGACAAACTCTTATTTTTGTCCAATATCTGGATGAGGATGTGGCATCATTTAGTTTGAATTTAGCGTGTGGTTTGTAATCATCTATATTACACTTTGCTTGGAAAATAATACTAAAAATGATGTGCCAATTTAAAACTTAACTCTTTTATTTTTTACTCAGCTTTGGAAGGAAATTAAGAAAAATGTTTGGGTAACAAATTAAAAAAATTCCTGGCCTAATCTATTTTTCTTAAAATTTTGCAATTGTATATTTTGAAGTTTAAACTGGAAGTGTCACCAACATTATTAATACACCTCAAAATTTATATATATCTTGTGTGATTTCTGAATATTTGACTATATTATTTTTATTGCTGGTATTATGTGAATTTTACTATATTTTTACTATCCTATGTAATTTAATTGATATTTCACAATTTCTGCCACTTCTTGAGTTTCCTTCTATATAAATATTATTATTTCTGTTATGGATTAAGCAAAGTAGGGGTCATAATTAGCTCTGGACCCAATTTTAATTCATATATTGTCAGATTTTAACTTAACTTAAAATAATGACAATTGCATTTTGAAGTTATGCAGAAATAATAAATAAATAAAGAGTTTTTTTTTTTTTTACATAATGTTGCATCAGCAAGATAAAACATAATGGTCTTTAAGGATGCTGATTTAAAGGAATCAGATTCAGATAGCATTTTCTCAGCAGCATCCCGTCCCTGTTTTGTTTTTATTTAATCTCAATTTAAGCACGCCGTAGTCGGTGACATCGTCCCGGCCACCTGTGACCCCGTGGCCCGGCAGAATAGAGGCTGTCATGTTAATGCACGGAGATGACATGCAATTAGCTTCTGAGGTATGGCTCCTCTTCTCTCCTTTTTTTTTTTTTTTTTGATACGAAGACCCTCGGCATTCACAGCTGAAGCCTGAGTTTTCCCACAACACTCCGCAGGAAGAAATACCTGTTATCAGGTTTGTATTCATGAAGCACTAATGAGCTGCCTTGTTGTGCTAATTCTGCAACTTGATGCTCTCAAAGAGGAGACTAATATGTTTGTTAAAACAGGACTAAGGAGAGGGAAGTTGATTGTCCTGAAGATAACGAGAGCGGAGCGGCATTTAGTGTGTGTGTTCTTGCATGCTTTATAAGTTTTCTGAAAATGTCTTGCTTCCGGAGGAGTCGAAGGACTTGGGTGTAAATATTGACAGTTTTGATTATGGCAAATAGATTAAGTCACTTTTCCTTTGATCGGCTCTGATCAGATAACAAAAATCTGATTTTTTTCTTTTCCCCTCAATCATCAAATGCATCAAAACTTAGAACTCTCACCATTTTCAGCCTATAATGACTTCCACCATCGTGACATTGTTTATTTTTTGTATTTTATAAAAATCAGACAAAGGTAATGCTTGTATATCTTTCCTTTCCTTTTTGGATTTGAAACTATTACTACCATTGCAAAGAAAATACTAGTAAATTGTTCTTGTCTTGTATTTTGAATTTAATCTCTGGAAAAAAAAAGAAGAATGACCTGAAAAAACCTGGAACTCGGTTTTGGCCAAGGCAATCCTGATTGGTTCATTTCTACTTTTATGAGTTCAATTGTTCGAAGTAAAGTAATTCAGGAACAACCTGATACGTGAATGTTTTCAGTAATCTTCCGTGATGAGTCTGATAAACTTTTGCTTTGTTTTTCTGCCCATACACTGACTATTGTAGTTGATTTGATGTCCCCCAGAAGATATCCCCCACTTTGATGATTTGGTACTTTGATATGCTGACATCAAATGAAACAGACACAGTGGGGAGAAAAAGAGGGCAAGTCAGACAGAGGTAGTGATTGAGGGGGTAAAAAAAGACTTTGGAAATGTGTGTGTGTGTGTGAAAACTTAGGCTGAGGCTGCAAACCTGAGGAGCGTCAAAATGTCTGGACGCATTTGCGTACGAGCGGAGACAAGAAGGGGTCTTCGGGCGTGCAAGGAGCTCCTCCTTGGCCTCCCTAATCCCCAGGCCCAGCCATCCCTTCAGGGCATGCCTCAGATCTGACTCCCTGGCTCTCTCTGCGTGGACGAGCCAGCTCCGCCAGCAAGATTTAATATGCTATGTGTTCCCTCCACTTCTCTCCCTCCCTCCTCCTCAGCTATCATTGTCCCTGAGCGGGACCCTCGCTCCCTGTTTCAAGGAGCCAGCTAAAGGCACCTTTCAGACCCGCGTGATGTCTTTGGATAAGGGGAAAGTAGGGATGAAGAAGCTATGAGACTCAAGATAGCAAACTGCAATTTTAGATATGTATATTACTCACATTGGGGAATTTTAATGCTCTTGCCTTTGCAAAACGGTTGTCACACGCTGGAGAACTGCATGCATGTTTTAGGATCCTGCTGCAAATTCATTGCTTTATTTTAGGGTTGTTGTTGCTTTTTCGTCTTCAATCACCTTGAAGTAGCATTTTTATTTCATCTGAACAAAAATATATCTTCCCCCCTCTCCAACTTACTGTGACAACTATGTCACACAATTACACAAAACTTAAATATGCTGATCATAATTTATTAGCGAAGAAATGTAAAATGAAAACCCAACAAAAATGATATCATTCACTTTTATTTGAAATGGAATACAAAGAACTATAGTTTTGCCAAACTAATGTGAGATATTGTTACTGTGTTCATAATGTTTAAATATGTTATTCAGATACAAATAAACACCTGGTAAATTTAAAAACAGCTCATAATTGCATAAAATATTAAGTCATTTTGTTAATTATTTTTTTTATGAAACAAGAGGCTTAAAAGCTAATATTAGCAGATTAGAAGGATTTTTAATAATAACATTCCTTTAGTTTTCTTGTTAGAAACATAGTTTTATGCAGCCAGCAAAACAACAAAATGTATTAAAATTTTGTTTAAACTGCAGCATTTCATCAAAAGGTTGGCAGTGGCAGCAAAACTTCAGTTCAGTTTTTTTTATATAGCACCAATTCACAACAATACTCTTAGCAGGTCCAATTCATATGCAGAAACATGTGGGGGAGGGTGTGTGCTGGGATTTTCTACTCTCTATAAACAGCATGAGAAAACTCACTTTCTATGGTTTCCCATTGAAAAGGATTGAAACTTTAGAAGTAGCATTTGAAAAACATCCACCAAGGATTAATTTAAATTTTGAAAACATGTATAAAAGCCCTAACATGAATAATATAAGGAACGTTAAATTTTCTTTCAAAATATTTCAGAAAAATGGTGTGAGTAAGTGACTGCTTCTTTTTCTCAAACACTTCATGAGTAAACAGGACAGGTCGCAGCTGCTTGTGGCCGCCGCTCACATCCCTCCTCTATTTGCTTTGGATGCTGTAAAAACGTCTTTAAGTCGTTGGTGTGAAGTGTAGCAGCAAGAGGTGAAGTGCTTCGGGTTTGAGGCCTCGGAAGTGTATAAAGCTGAATGCCCAGAACAAGATGAGTTTCCCGGGTCATGGCTGTTTTTGCAGATGTGGTATTGTGTCAGCTTTGATGAGAGCCGGTTGTGGCATCCGTGAGGGGGTCTTTTGCTCTTCTTTTTCTCCTTTTTTTTGTCCAGCGCTGTGATTTGCGTGACACATACACTTGGAAGCTTGCTGTGAACAATGATCTGTCGCTCATCCAGGCTTCTTGATCTGTGAC